AATCTGAAGCTCCTATGTTGAACAGTTTCTGAGTTATAAGCATTTTTGCATATAAACATAGACGTACAGWATTGCAAGTTAAATGTACAGATATGTTTATGACTATGTGTTTTTGTTATAATACATTTGTGCATCAGAGCTGCTAATGTCGTGGAATGGACAGAACATTGTTCTACTGACTGTTCAGCATTCTAATTKCCTGAGGAAAGAAGCAATCACGGAACCGAATGGTTCTGGTCCTTATACTTCTGTACCTTCTTCCACTCGGCAGTGGTGAGAACAGCTCGTGACTTGGATGGGACCGGTCCCTTAAGACCTTGAGGGACTTCCTTGAGCAGTGGTTAGTGTAAAGATCCTGAATGTTTGGCAGCTTCACCCCAACGATGTCCTGTGCTGTGGGCACTACCCTCTGAATGGATTTCCGCACCYCCTCTTTGGATGGAGCCCCCTACTCAAATTTGGGGTTTATCGTAAAACCGTTGGCTGCCACAGTGTAGGTCGGACTCATCTACAGCCCTGCCAAATTTCATGTTGATTGGTGCAGCCGTTTTTGTGCTATGGTTGACCAAAAATCACTGAAAAAAAATAACCTAGATACCGCATAGCAGTAATGACCCCCRCACACACAAATGCACCAGAACTCAGAAGTCTTTATTCCTAATAAATGTCATGCCACTAGGTGCATCCCAAAATTGTAGTGGTTTGGGTGGATGTCTTTGTTTTTGGACTGGGTGGGGGCATTGGTTAACTTGATGGATAGCCCCTCATCAGAGCTACACAACTAAAGGCAATCTGAAGCTCCTACGTTGAACAGTTTCTGAGTTATAAGCATTTTTGCATGTCCAGACATCCCCTCTTTGAAAGGGTCTATCGTCAAATCGTTGGCTGGCGCAGTAAAGGTCAGCCCTGTCTACAGCCCTGCCAAATTTCATGTTGATTGGTGCAGCCGTTTTTGTGCTACGATTGACTAAAAATCATTGAAAAGATAAATAAATAAACAGTACGAAAACAATATGACTCCCACTTACGCTTCGCRTGYGGGGGTCATAATACCAACCATTTCCTGTATGATCAAAAAGTAGGTCCTCTGGATGGGTTMTTCTTTAGTGAAACGTTTCGTCTCTCGTCCAAGAGACTTCTTCAGTCTGACGAGTTTCAGGTGAACTCAAGGCTGGTTTATACTTCTTGTCGCATGTCTTTTACCMCCCGCTGAGTGAAAAAAAGTTGCACAACTTCTATCTGCACTCCCCCTGCGATCCCCCAGTGACAGCTGTCCGATACATTGCCCCCAGTCAGCACTCCGAGACATGGAGGTTGTGGCTCGGCGCGTGTGATTGGTTCAAAGTTTGTGGGCGTTTTTGTTTGGTGTATCGCTCCACTACCCGGCACTTGCTTCCAGAGGCCGGTTTTTGTTTGTAAACATGGACAGTTTTGAAGAGAAACTTGCCRAGGCGGTCCGGAGGTACAAACATCTGTATGACTTCTCTACTGCGGCGTACAAGTAATGCCAAATGGCAAAAAATTCATGGAGGGAGATTGCAGAAACGTTGTAAACAGAGGACGCTGTCTGCTGCAAACGGTGGCGGCCTCTCCGTGACCGGTTTGCAAAGATCAAACGGAGAGTGCAGGTCCGGAGCCGGGATCCTGGCGGCACCAATCCAGTTCCTCATTATTTCTTTTTTTGCCCCCTTTTTTTTGCTGGACATGTACATTAAACACYGGGGTACGACAGCAAACATGACAACATCCGACACAACGGACTCACAAATCGATGTAATAAAACACCCTCGCTAGCCTACTTTTTAGAGAAAATGAAGTGATTTATTACAGAAGCTCAAATATAAAATCACGCTTGTGTTGCTTGACGTATGCGGTGGGAGGGTAGAGGGAGGGATTACTATAATACTGTATATCCCCCACGTCTTTTGCAAGTACAAACACTCAATGCAGTCGGTGACACAAATGCAATTACGTCATTGCTGGGCTGCAGCCGCACGTCTTGTATGAAGTATAAACAAACCTGAACCTTATAAGCACTGCCTCCACATGGTGGACAAACAGGTTAGTCACATGCAAAAGAGGGCCATCGCCTAACAATAGGCTTGATTAGTAGGGATTGATTAGTGATTGATTTCCTGTATGGTTTCAGACCTGTTCTCTTTTTTGTTTGCACCTCCTTTTCAATTCAGTCCAGTTTATTTGTTTAACACCAAGTCACAATGAATGTCGTCTCAAGACACTGTACAACAACACAGTATTTGCATGATAAAAGTTAATTAGTAAAAGTTAGAAGTCTAAGGGAGCCAGCAGATCATGTTGAATCTTCTCTTCATCACAGTCTCCTAATGGGAGTTGTATTTTGGAGCAGGAGGCTGAAATATACCGCTCACAGGCCTTGGAGTTGACCAGATGTTGGATATATTAATTGCCTTTTGTCATAGAAATAAAATGTAATGACAGGTCATTACCACATTCTGTGATGTGGYTATAGCTGAGGACAGATTGTCCCTTCACTGATACAATCATCGGCCTTTTGCTGCCTGAAACTGGTTCTCTGACCCTGGTTGGTCCCTTTAATTGTTCTCTCAGAGCATAAATCTCCTCACTGAGAAAAAGAAGGTTCAAATTAAAATYCCACTGCACATGTTTATGTCATGTTAATGTGATTGTATTGCAGTGTTTACATCAGATCAAATAACAGATAAATGCTGGTACCACACCAGTAAAAWCTTATATRGRGCCTTATCAAGTCCACTTGCACCCCAAGGTGCTTTACACTTCAGACATTCACCCATGTACACACTGATGCTACATTGCAGCCACAGTTGCCTTGGGGCATACTGACAGAGGTGGGGCTGCCATGTACCGGTGCCACCAGACCCTCTAACCACCATCAGTAGGCAAGGTGGGTGTCTTGTCTCAAGTCCTTGTCTTGCCCAAGGACTCAACAAATGAAACGGCAAGATGGGGGATCGAAYCGATAACTTTCCGGTTCCAGGACGACTCCCCTAACCACTCCACTACACCCACCCTAAAGTAAACTGTGGCACCCCTGAAACCTGGATACAGGTGGTGGTTTGGTGAAGAACTGAGTCATCACCTGCAGCAACTGATTCTTCAGATCTAGCAGATCATTATTGGATCACAGTCATAGAGTTAAATAACACTAGACTGAGCCACACCTAGCTTGTCTACCTTTACCATCTGTGAC